AACCACAACCAGGTCAAGAGAGCATAGGACTGGAGAGTCATCCTCCCCGGGGAAAGGCCTTTTAGCTACAATCCCCCTAGAAATAAATGATTCTGACTTTTATGAGAATCGTTTCCTTGCATTTCAGCATGTTACTACCACGTAAGTGTGTGCCCCTAAACAATGTAGTTTCTTTTTGCCTGTATATAAATTTTTCACAAGTGGAATAACATTATTAACGTTGTTACTTGTTTCTTTTGTTCAACATCATCCATGTCCATGAAGAGTTTCCAGGTTGGGATGTTTCCAGATTGTCCATACATCCTGGTACCAACGTGCAAGAGAGTCTCTAGGGTGTATAAATAAGAACAGGATTACTGGAAATCAGGTATGCCTTTCTTTAAATTTACTAGATAATGCCAAACTATTTTCAGGATTTCTAATAATAATTTTCACGCCTATTAGCAGTGTAGTTTTTGTGTGTCCATTCGAATGCTTGGCATTGTGGGGATTTCTTCATTTTCTCCTCATCTTGTGGGTAGGTGATTGTATGGTGACTTCATTTTGTATATATCTCATTACTGATGATATTGAGCACTTTAACCACGTAGTTAACATTTAGAGTTTTGCAAAGAAATGATGCCTATTTTTCTGTTAACTTAGCTTTTTCTTATTGGCTTCTGGAAGTTACTTAAATATTCTACATACTAATTTAGTGTCAGTTATGTGTTGTCAATATTTTCTGGCTATTTTTTTTTCTCTCCTTATGGAGACCTTTGATAAATATAAGTTCTTAATTCTCACTGCACTTAAATATTTTAAGAAGTTCTTAATTCTCTTGTAGTGAATTTATGATTTATGCTTTAGGGCCTTGTTTAAGAAATCCTCCCTATTCCAAGTTCATGAAGATGCTCTCTTTTAAGAGTTACATAGTTTTTATATGTATGTTCATGTATAACTGAAAAATTGTGCTGTACACTGGAAATTGACACAACAATAAAAACTATAACTCAATTTAAAAAATGTAAAAAAAAATGTCATTGCAAGGGTAAAAAAAAAATAAAGTTACATAGTTTTTTCCCCTTTCATATTTAAGCCTGTTACTGCACCCAGATTTCATTTTGGTGATGGCCTGATTGGGTCAAATTTCATTCCTTCCCTGTGTACAGCTAACTATCCCATTATGCTTTCACCATCTTTCGTGCCCTCTCAGTGAGCATGTATGGTCATTTCCTAGGCCAAAGCCTTATTTGATTTTAAAAACCACCCCATGAAGAAGGAATTACTTATCTCTGTTTTGCAGATGAAACTAATCTCAGAAAGATTAAATAACTTGCCGAAAGTCACAGAACTATACGTGACAGAGCCAGAATCTGAACCAGTACAAAAGTAGCCTCTTATTTTCATAATCTCAAAATACATCTGTGGTTTTTACAGTTTCACAAGAAGTCTGAAACTCATGACAAGTCTAATCCCTTCCACTATTTTGCAGTTAAAACATTGAAATGACTGATTTATTTTTGTCTTCTCCAAATGATGAGTAAAAGAAGGAGGGATTTGTATTCTAAGTGTATCTAGAAAAGCAAAACATTAAGTATATATTTATTTATTTTATAAAACCATGAGAACAAAGCAAAAGAGCTTTATTTCCTGGATTGCCTTCCCCCCAGGGACTTTATAGGTAACAAGTAGGAAATAAATTTAATTTGGCAACAGACCAGCTTTGTCTAAAGCAAAAAATATTTCTTCCTTTGAGAAAGATACTCTAAAGCTCCAAAATGCACATTTCCTGGATACTCTAACCCCCTTGTATTTAACAGAATTCAACCCTATTACACTTCATAGGGTTAAAATAGAATATTAATCTGTTCTGAGGTGTTTATCTACTAAAGCTAAGGATCTAGGTTTTTAAACTTACAGATAACATCATGTACTAAAAATATTATTTTTAAAAAACTAATAAGTTATCACATACTGAAATATAGGGGTGAAATTAAATGTCTAGAATTTGCTTTAAAACATCTCAGCAAAGAAATAAAGGATGTTGAAAACAGTTACAGCAAAATCTAACTATTGAATATGGGTGATGGGCATTTAGAGTTCATTATACTATGCTACTTTTGTGTTTAAAAAGTTTTATAGTAATGTTTTAAAGTTCATCATTAAAAATAAGCTAGTTAAAGCTTTAAAAATTTTTTTGTAAAAATCCTTCATAAACCAAAGCAATATCCATACAAGAGCTTAGAATCAGGAAAAGTGAACTTCATCTTCTGGGTCCATCTTGGTTCATACTTCCCAGGGTTATGAGTTCCAGTCACCTGAGAGTCAGTGGTGACTTGAGTGAAATTGGATAGGCCTACCCTACTAGCTACAGTCTTCTTAATGAGCAAAGCTGTCCACTGAATCCAGGTAGACCAGCTGGTCACATCATGGCATAAGGTTTCCAGTTATAGCTGGCCTGAGATGTGGTTTGCTTACATGAATAATTGTAATTCTCCTGAACATTTGTATAGCACTTGGAAAATGTATACAACATTGAATGGGAAACACGTAGTACCTGGGAAAATTGCTAAATTACTAATCAGAACACCTGGGTTCAAGCAATGTCTTGCCCAGGGTCAGATGCTAATATGGGATATCTATGCTAGGTACTCTGCAGAGTTTAATTCAATTGATAGAATATCTATGAAAATTATTGGCAAATTTTAAAGCATGCTACATATTACTACTGCTGCTAAAAAAAGCAGTAAGTAATATAAAGCTACATATAAAGATGAAAATAATTCTTTTGGCAGGGAAAAGAAACAGAAAAGGCTTTTTGGAGAAGGTGGTATATCAGTCTTTCAGACTGGATGAAGTTGCATAAATGCTAATGGAGGAATAGACAAATAAAAAGGGTACAACAAATGGGAAAAAACACATGTATCGGGAACAGCAAAAATAGTGTAGTAGAACAAATACACAAAGAAATATTAGAGAATGAGCTCTATTACAAACCATGGGTTCCAACCTATTAGTGGGACATGAAAGCAATTTTAATAGGTTGCAACTAGATTTGTTTTTAATGGAATAAGGCAAAATATTAGAGTATATCACATATGAAAAGGATAAATATTTTGTTAAAGTATTGTTTCAGGTGCACGTGCATATACATGTCCATGCCGGGTCATGATGCAAAATGTATGTCTTATTGTGGACTGTGGTAATTTGTGTTTTTCAAACACCAATTTAGATCATCATACACCAAACTACTAGTAGTTATAACTAAAGGATAAGATTACAAAGAAATTTAATTTTCTAAAATCTGCAGTGTTTGACATTCTCACTAAAATCATGTAAAGCTCTATAATTAGAAGGGAAAAAATATTTAAAGAAAGAAAATTATGCCAAGACTTTTAAGCTCAGATAATGTGAGGTAGATGGTGTCCTTGACAGAAATAGGGATCACAGAGGAAGACCTTAGATGAAGATGGAAATTTACACTTTGTGCTGAGTCTGAAGTGCTCATAGAAGACTCTGAAGGCATGAGCTAGAACACAGATAGAATTAGAATTTAGAAGACACAGGGTGGGGTATATAGATTTGGTAAACAGCTAAGTACGTGATGGTTGAAGCCAGCGACTGTCCAAGGAGAGAACATAGGACCAGACCAAACAGAGCTTTGAGAAAGACCGGTCTTTAGAGAGTTAGAGATGAGGAGGAAAAGAAAGGAGTCAGAGGAAGCAGCAAGAGAGGTCAGGAGGCAGGAACTCTGAACTGATTCAGGAATGGGGCTACACTGTCATCACACCCTGGCTTTACACTATAAGGAAGACCTTGTCTAGGTTAATGGTGCTTTTCATCTGGACCTGCACAAAGTGAGTGTCCCGTAATATAAGTGACTGGTAGCCACTGCTGTCTTTGTCCTTGGCATGAGTTTCATACTTAAACTGCACTATTAGCAATTTGAGGACCCAGTCTGAGTTTAACTTCCAGCTCATTCTAAGCTTCCAACTCACAGCACCTTAGACATAAAAGATAAATCTTAGTTCTTTCAATTAAGTAGCTAGAATCTCATAATCAAGACAGATTCCCAAATGACAGGAAACATGGAACTCAGGTTCTTCTTCGATAGGGATTTACTTTGCAGGCCATACAAACCTGTAAAGCAAAAGAATTTTCTTATTCACCTCACTCCCAGGAACTGAAATTATCTTAGGTTACTTCCTGTTACATAACGTCATGATATCTAACCAATATTTAAGCCCTATCTTAGCAAACTCCAGTTTTTCCTGTCTAATCTAGTCGTCTCCATCCTGTGTGTCCTTCATAAATCTCTTTATAATGTCAGCACTCCTCGGTTTCAGCTTTAGAGCATTATCAATATTTCACTCATCACTACTGGAAACAATGGTGGACAACCCTGAACTTAGTATTAATAACTGACACAGTAAGATCTGACAGTAAGAAAATTATTTAATAAAAACTTCAAGTAATAATTTTTTTAAAAAACGTGTGAGGTAGAAGCAACAGTTTTTAACATAACACTCATTTGAAAAAAAACAACTTAGAAAGAAATGATATTTCTTCCCCCAAAGATGGATACACTAAGGTTAAAACTGGTCACCATATAAATAACCAAGCACTCTGAGGTAACTCTGTTTTACAAAATATCTTTATACAAAAAGGGAAAATTGAGTAATGTCCCAAAACAAAGGGGCTTATGAACATGAATAGATGAAAACAGGGATATATGCCTTTTAAAATTTGTTACCAATTCAGAAAACAAAATTTATTCTCAAAAGAGAAAAAAAATTTTTTTATAGCAAAAGCTACTCTAGAATACTGAAGACTGAAAATAACAGGGAGAGTAAGGGGAATCAGAAATTGATTAGAAATAATAAGTTTATAGGTAATAATTTAAAGCCTAGCTTTAAAGTGAAAATGTATTTGATATCAGAAAGCAAAAGTCAGGTGAAAAACTCAGGAAATGGCCTTTGGATCAGGGACCTCAAAATACAGAAAATAATCATCAGAAGATTGTGCTTAAATGATTAAAAAAAAATCAATTTTCTTTACCCAATCTTTCAAATAAATAAAATATAATAAAAACCTACAAAATCAAATTAGTCTTAAAAACTTAGACTTAAAAGTTTAAACCTCAGGTCAAAAAGTTAATCCATCTTTAAAAGCTGGCAGAAATTTATCAAACTCTATGTCATACAAGAACACATTTATAATACCTGTAAATTTAGACTTTTCAGTTTGGAGTATATTTGTACTAAAAAAATAAATACTGTGTTACATTTTGTACAGTAGTAGAACTTTATGTTTAACAAGATTATACCAAAAAATAAATAAATAAAACAAAAAATTGGAACTCTGACAGAATACATTTACATCATTTCATACCCTTGAAATAAAAGTTATCTTCACAGTCTAGCCAGGCACTGATTTTATAGCATATCCAAATTACAAATAATAGGCCATAGAGGAGACCATGCTGGTATGAAAAAAGCAAGGAAAACAGTGCTTTATCTTTGAAAATCACCCAATATGTAACAAAGACTTTCATGTTCTCCTGATGGAAGATCAAAGATGTAGAATAAATTAAGGAAAATATATTTAACGCAATGTGGAATTACATAAAAACATATATGACATTATTATTTAATATTATGTAATTGGGTTTACAGGAGTGCTAAAAAATTATGAAGATTTTTGTGGCATTCTATGGATAATAATGTACTTAAGCAATATAGTTTACATATTTTAGCCTAAAACCTTCATATAATTTCTTTAAAAGATAATCTGTTTTAAAATAATCTACAATATGACAAGAAATAATTCTCCATTTTTAAATATAATGCTTTGTCCCGGATTTTAAACAAAAGGTTATAAATTAAGGTGAGAGGAACCAGAAGGGATAACCAGTTTTCCGAGATGTGCTCTAGGAAACATTCACACTATTTCCCCTTTCTCATTTCACAAATAGTCCCTTTTTTCTCTTTCCTCACTTCACAAACTGTCCTTCTCCATCACCTTCATTATTTCACTTTTTGCTTAAAATTACTTCCTGTGAATTGTTTTCTGTGTCCTTTGTAGAATCAGACATTTGAAATATGCCTGTGGAAAACACAGGACACTGAACTTAAATTTATACAAATACATAAATGAAGTATTCACAATAGCACAATCAAATGGGACTATATACAAACAAAAAGGATATTAATTCTTCTGAGTTTAGATGATGAAGAAGCTTCCTCAAAGGAGGATACCAGTTTAGTGAGGGCACACATCCCAGGAGAATCAGCTTATGTTTGGCTCTAGTTAGAGCAACATTAAGACGTCGCCAATCTTTCAGTAGTTCACCAAGCTGAAAGAAATATAATTATTTGAGTTTTCTTATATATTTGAATTTCTTTCTGGAAAAGAATACAGTTTGTCTTGAACTATTTTCCTACTTCAAAAACATGTATTGCAATAAAGATTTATCAACATATTTAAAATTCAAGCCAGTTGGAAAAACTTGCATACAGTTGCCAACTTCAAGTATTTTATCTTGAGTATGATATCCTAGCCATAATTTAAAATTATTAAATACATATAATAAAAATATATCAAAAAATTTAAAATATATACAATAACATTTCAAAATATTAAATACATATAATAAAAAATTGAAGCTGTCTCCACTCATTGTAGCATTGTTTTAACAGTAACAAAAACTCATTAATAGAAGACTCAGAGGAGTGGTTAAACCATGACCTATATATGCAATGGAAAACTGCATCTGTTAGGACAGAATGAAATCTCTTTCTATCTAACGACACAGAAGGATCACCAAGCTATTCTATTAAGCTGAAAAAGCCAAGTACAGAATAGTGTATATATTACGTTTTGTGGGGAAAGGAGGGCAATATGACTACTGATTCATATATGCATGTATATTCTTAAAGAAACTCTAGAAGGTTACAAAAAAAAACAAAAACCCAAAACACTCCACAAACCAAACATGATTATCTGTGAGGGAAGAACTGAGTAGAAGAGGAATGGGGTAGAAGGGAGACTTTCCACTATATATATATAGGGATATTTTTAAAACCGTATGAAGGATCACATACTCAAGAAAACTGAGTCAGGAAGAGGTAAAAATGCAAAAACAAAACAAAACAAAACAAAATCTGGCATCATCTATAAATTTGAAAGTATATCTAGGGTAGCCATTATGTTTAAAATGCTCTAAGCACAATAACCAAGAAGTGGAAGCAATCCAAATGTCCACTGATGGATGAAAGGATAAACAAGATGTGGTATATACATGCAATGGAGTAATACTCAGCCTTTAAAAAGAAGGAAATTCTGATGTGCTACAACACAGATGAACCTTGAGGACATTATGATAAATACAATAAGCCACTTACAAAGGGACAAATACTCTATGATTCCACTTATATAAGGTACCTAGAGTGTCAAAATCAGAGAGACAGAAAGCAGAATAGTGGGAGCCAAGGGCTGGAGAGAGGGAATTAGGAACTCGTTATTCATGAGTGTAGAATTTCAATTTTGCAAAATGAAAAAGTACTAGAGATCTGTTGCACACACTGAATATACTTAACGCTATTGGACTGTTCACTTAAAAATAGTTAAGATGGTAAATTTTATGTGTTTTTTTACAATTTAAAAAAGAAAAAATGTCCCAAACAAATCAGATAATAGAAAGCAGAAAATACAATTAACTCACAGTTCCATCTTTATTACTTCTAACAAAAGATACTAGAATGATACTTTTGTCTCTTCCTTGGTATTTGTCTACTGTATTAACTTCAACCATCCCAATAGAAGAATGAGCCAATAAATCATTGATGACCTTTAACTGCTGCCTGTATGGTGCAATGATACCAATATCAGAGGGATTACATCCAGCCTAAACAGAAGAAACAATTTAAAAATGAAAAAATCCTGATTTTTGTTATTTAAGTGTTACTAAATTTATTAAATTAAATGTTTACATAATGTGCCTCGTTAATGTTTATAATAAACATTCCTATCACAAGGGGTAAATGCAATTGGTGCATTTACTAAAAGTCTGTACCCATTTACTTCCTGAGATGGAATACTTTCCTCAAACACTGCTCCCTTGATTTTTAGTTCATGGAGGTATAATGGTTTATATGGCACTAAAACAGTGCTGCCTCACCATAAAGTACAAAGAAACACATTTCCCTTCTGCTATCCATTACACTGAAGTTTCCAGTCCCCAATCATACCTACTCTAGCACTATACTGACACAATCAGAATTATCTGATGTGGGGAGGGCTTAGCTCAGTGGTAGAGTGCATGTCTAGCATGCACAAGGTCCTGGGTTCAATCCTCAGTACTTCCACCATATGAAAAAATAAATAAATAAATAAATAAATAAACTTAGTTACCTCTCCCCACAAAAGAACAACAACAAAAAGAATCATCTGATGTTACAAAAAGTTATCCTAAAGGGAAACTCAAAATGCCATTACTGTATAAAAAAATTAAATGTCTTAGATAAATGTTCTCAAAATAAAAACAATCAGGCTTCAGTTCTCTTATCTTAATAAACAAAAGTTAATACTAGATCTGAGTTCTTTGCACTATAATGTTTTATTGCTCTGCACTTTAATATTAATTAGCCCTCAAAATTAAACTCTAGGTTACCTTAATAAAAACGGAGGTCAGGAAAACAATGAGTTTGGCTTCTGTTATATTACTCACACCTCCCTTTTCAACTTGTTCTGGTGCTGGAACCTAAATAGAAAAATACGCATTCTTCTTGTAAAACTATCTTAAAGTCAAGAGTACTGTCAGTATATAGCTAGCCATAGACACAGTACTACCAGCTGTGAAGACAGATGAAAAATATCTTCATCTTAAAGTTGAAGGGAAAAGAATTAACAAAAATGAATGATATTAGTCATTTTCAGAAAGCCACCCAGAGGCAACCCATCTTAAAAATGCCATATACAGTTCAGACTAAAATCTCTATGAAAACCCACCATACACTGGGCTTCACATACTTTACTATGTTATCTTCCATTTTATAGGCATCAAAGGCCAGAAAGATATGTCACTTGCCCAGACGTCACAATAAATCATGACACTAGGATTCACACTTCGATTGAGCTCTAATATCTATGCCCTTTCTATTTTCTTGTTGCCTTTTATACAAGTAATGGAGCAATAAAGTTCCCCAGGTTCTATCATATCTAGTAAAACTCCCCAAGGATTGTTTTGGTCCTGTATCATCCTTAAGTAACCTTGATTAATTTTTAATACAACTTATTTGGAATTCTGATGCTAAGAAAGAGAAAACATTAGTAGCAAAAATAAAGAATTTGAACGATCATGGTGAGATTAATAATTGTTAAATTATGGCTAGTAAGTTAGAGTTGTGGTTTAAAAAAGCAGGCATTTGCGAGAACAGCTTATATGAATAAATTTCCCAGTGCCTGCCTGCCCACATGTTGTTAATTCTTCAACCTGAAACACTAAGGGCAATGTCCAAGAGAATGAAGATTCCATCATGGTACACACATGGTGAGGCCCTATTTTTAACAACCAGCTGCCCCATCCTAATAACAAAAGATATAATTATTTTGGAATAATAGAATAACATATAATGGTCACCATATTTTTATTTGAACTTCTGTAAAGACTTCCAAATCAATAATGAGAAGCACTATGTAAGACAAACCGTAGGAATACAGGGTCAAAACTTTGTTCTTTGTTCCTAGAAATAAGAATCAAGTCATTTAAAGTCAAGGTACAGATTTTTTATTTAATGACAAATTTGTAAAGAGGTCTTTATGTGCATATGTAGGGACAGGAGATAGATGGGAAATTTCTGTATTTTAGCTCAGCTTTGCTGTGGACCTAAAAAACTGCTCAAGAAAATGAAGTCTATTTTTTTTAAAAAAGGTCTTTAAAAGGACATCAATTTATCACTATCTTATGTCCATTTGTAAACTCAGACCTTTGATAATATCACTACCGATTTCTTTTCTAGGAAATGTAATTATACACTTGAATTCACTTTCTAGCTTTCCTACTTTAAAAGTCAATTTTGACATCTATCAATCACCCAAATAAACCTCCTCACAAAGATATTAAGTCTATAAAAAGAAAAGATTCCTTTGTGATAAAGTACAAGTATACCAGTTTTAACTGACAAGCTCTAATGAAGCATGTGCTACTGAAAACTGAGGAATTTAAGTAACAGGGCAAAAGGAGAAAAACTAAAGAAAATGTTTGTTTGTTTGTTTTTACCTTCTCTGTATTAAGAAAACAAACAGGATTGTTTGGTTCAAATACTCCAATCAGCCAAGGATTTTCAGAATAATCAGCATAAAATTCCAGTTCCAGCTTTACATCTTTGAAGTTAGGTAGGTTTATCATTGCATTGGCCACTTTGTCTGATCCACACTCCAGCTTTCCTTCATATGTCAGTTTATTACTTAAGGACATAATTTTACTAAGGGAATTATAAAAATGATTTTAGTTTTGGTAGATGAAAACAAATAAGAAAATCACTCATAACTGACACTATTTACAAATACCTGTTCATCCTGTACTGCACGGTTAACTGTACAACAGCATTCTTATTCTGCTCCAGTCTCTTGAATAAGCTTTCACTCATGCCAAGAGCTCTGTCAACAAATCAAATTCAGGGTTATCAGTGTACTAAAACTGTCCCTTAAGAAGAATCCAGTTTAACAGGGGAGGGTATAGCTCAATGGTAGCGTTGCTACCTAGAACATGCAAGGTCCTGGATTCAAACCTCAGTACCTTTATTTAAATAAACAAACCTAAAAAGAATCCAGTTTAAAATTAAAACCCCATTGTCTGCTTACCTTGCTTCACGGTTTAGCACCAGGGGAGGAAGCTGCTGATGATCCCCCACCAATACAAATCTCCGTGAAAAAAAAAGTGGCCCTAGGCAGATTGGTTGGCTAATTTGAGAGGCTTCATCCACTATACAAAAGTCGAACATTTTACGAGAAAATATTGGGTGGTTTATTCCCATACATGTTGTTGCAACTATAAGCTAAAAATAAAGAAGATAGATCAGTCATTTAATATGTCCAAGAACACAACATTGTAAAATGATTATAAATCTATAAAAAGTGTTAAAAAAAAATCCAAGGAACAGAGCTTGTTTTTCACGTTCTTGAAATCAAAAGACCAAAACTGAATTTTTTAATCCCCAACAACAGGAATCCCTCAATATTATTTAATTCTGAAACATTTATAGCATGCAAAAATTTAATTTTTTACTACAAATTTAAAAAAAGATCAAGTTAATTTTCCAGACACTAACAATGCTCAAATTTGGATATTTCCAAATGGAAATCTGAAACAGTCAAGAGAAAGTAAGTTAACGAATTCTTTTTTTTAATGTCAACCAAGACTTCACCTATGGGAAGATGAAGTACTTTCTCCTACTCCTCCCACACAGCACAACTGAAAACTCTGGACATTACACATAAAGCAAATATAAAGACTCTGAAAGGTGGAGAAAAGGTAGGGCAGCTAGGGACCCTGGGACGCAAGGAACAGCACAATAGTTTGTTCCTTGGGTTTTCTTGTTGCCTCAAAAATTCCAGATTTGGAGCTAAAAACTACAAACCCAGAAATGCCAATGGGTGCACACCAAAAAAGACTCCAACAAAAGCCAAAGGAACAGGAATGGGAAGGCCTAGTAGACAGAAAACTTATATGCAGTGACCACTCGACCCTAGCCAAACACCACAGAAAAAAACTACGGCCTCACCCCTACCGATGCCAGCAAAGGTCCAGGGGAGCCTAGACTTTCACTCTCATCCAGCAGTAACGAGGAGCCCTCCTGCCTTGTGCGTTAAAGAGGCCAGAGTAAACCTGGACTTCAGCTCCCAACTGGCCGTACTGAGGTGGCACACCCCCTTGCTCTACAGAGTACTGTCAGAGTAGCCAGAGAAAACGGAAGTTTTAAGTAACACAATACAAAAATGTTCAGGTTTCATCAAAAATCACTTGTTACACACAGGACCAGAAAAATCTCAAACTGAATGGAAATAAGGCAATCAATAGATGACAGTGATGTTAGAATTTTGACAAGAAATTTTAAAGCAGCCATAATAAAAATGTTTCAATGAGCAATTATGAACACACTTGAATCAAATGAAAAAAAAAGTCTCAAAAAAATAAGTCTTGGCAAAGAAAATGAAGATAAAAAAAGAACCACATGGAAATTTTAAAACTGAAACTACAATAACTGAAATTTTAAAATCATGGAATACATAAAAGTATAAAACTGCCTGGGAAAAGAAAAGAAAAACTTCGAGCATCTAGAGCTAGATAGAGTTCTTAGACTTGACACCAAAAGCAGAAGGCAAAAACATAAAACTTTTTAAACATTTTTTATTGATTTATAATCATTTTACAATGTTGTGTCAAATTCCAGTGTTCAGCACAATTTTTCAGTCATTCATGGACATATACACACTCATTGTCACATTTTTTTTCTCTGTGATTTATCATAACATTTTGTGTATATTTCCCTGTGCTATACAGTGTAATCTTGTTTATCTATTCTACAATTTTGAAATCCCAGTCTATCCTTTCCCACCCTCTACCCTGCCCCCCCCCCCCCGGTAAC